TTCCCCTCCACTTCCTTTCCCACCGGCCTGGTTGGGGGCTCCGTCGTCCCTTGCTTGAATTACAGCTGATGAGCTGGACTCCCAGAGGTCACTCTTTCCTCCCTCCAGTCCATCCTGCATTCCCTGGTAGACTAAACATCGCTTTTTTTTATGTCACTTCCTTGCTCAAAAATCTTCATGACCCTCGATTTCCTCCTACACTGAATTTAAACTCCTTAACCAGGACTTCAAAGCTCCCCTTAAGGGGAACTTACCTCTTTCAGTCAATTACTCAAAAAGGAAAAAAGAAAATTGGTTAGCCAACTCATGAAAGAAGGTTCACAAAAATCAAGCTGTTCCTGGCTTAACCCTCTGGCTTCCGCCTCATTGACTGCTCTCTCTAGATAATGCATTATTCCTAGCAGCACGTTGGCCTGCTGTGTAAGTTCCATCTCAAACAAGAATCATTGCTGGAGCTCTTGCTGCTCCCCAGCGGTCACCTTGACGAGGAGCCTGGTCACCTTGACAAGGAGCCTCCTCACCGTCTCCTCTCTTTAACCGGTGCGACTCTGGCTTGTTCTCCCACATACCTCTGAAGTGGCTGCTGTCGTTGCCAGGTGCCATCAGATGCATTCTGACTCTCGGGGACAGAATAGAACTGCCCCAGAGGGTTTTCTTTTATTTGTAAGCATTTTATTGGGGGCTTTTATAGCTCTTACCACAATCCATCCATCCATCCATTGTGTGAAGCACATTTGTACATGTTACCATCATCATTTCCAAAACATTTTCTTTCTACTCAAGCCCTTGGTATCAGCTCATTTCCCCCCTCCCTTCCCCGCACATCGGGTGTTCTAAGCTGTCATCTTGATGGGAGCAGATCCTCAGGGCTCCCAGGGAGCTGCTGGGTAGGTTCAAACCTCTGACCTTTTGGTTAGGAGCCAAACACTTAACCACTGCGCCACTGGGCTCACTTTCCACTGGAAAGACTCATCCTAAGTGCCAGGCATCAAAGGCCACCCGTCAGCTTCCCCTTTCAGCGGTATTCCACCAAGTGGACTCCTTCCTGAAACCCTTTCCTTGGATCCTGATTTTCTTCCCACTTCTTGAGCAATTCCTCCTTCCTTCTGTTGCTGCTTCCTCCTCCTCTTCAGTTCCCAGGCTTTAGCCTTTACCCTTTCTCACTACTCTATCTGGACTCACTAACCAAAGAGTCTCCTTCCCAGCACAGCGTGAAATGCCTTCTCCGTGCTGGGCATGCTCTTGTGCTGTTGCAGCTCTCCTCTCTTGGCTTCCAGGAGAGCCCCTTTGCGTGTGAAGCCGGCACCTCACACTTCACATGGACAGAGGAGAACAGATTCTTCATTTTCCTTCTGCCACCCCGTCCCCCAACGCATCTGCTTCATCTCAGGAGAGGCACCATCCTTCTCCAAGGTGTCTAAACTAGTAGCCTTGAAGAACTCTTTCTCACATACCATCCTCTCTCATCCAGAAGTAAGCCAAACTGGTTCAACCTTAAAAACAAAAAACCCAACAGGCCCCCAATCCCGCATGTTCAACATGCCACTCTAGTCCAAGCCTTGCATGCGTTTCGCTGCTAGCCGGGTCTCCATTCCCTTTGCGTCCTGCTGGCGGCAGGAGACCCACCACTGGCTTTCCATTGTGCCCGTGCCTCCACGCAGGGTTCAGACTCTGCTTAGCTCTCATCTCTTCTGCTTCCTTACTGTGATCTAGTCCAAAGGAGGGGTCTTGCACCGCTCCTCAAGCAAGCTGTTCCGGACCTTATATTTACTACACTCTGCCTAAAGTTTAACCATGGTTAAAGCACTTGGCTGCACTTCGGTTCAAACCCACCACTGCTCCTTGGGAGAAAGATGAGGCAGTCTGCTTCCATTGAGACCACAGTCTTGGAAACCCTATTGGGAGGTCTTCTCTGTTGAGTAGGGTCACAGGGAGTTTAAATTGACTCAAAGGCCATGGGTTTGGATGCCTAAGGTGCCCTTATCCAGATTGCTAATGGCGCATTCCTTCCCAACTTTCAGGTCTCGGCTTAAATGTTTCCTTCTCAGAGAGCCTTCCCCAAACCCCCCACCACAGGTGGTCTAGACTTTCCATCGCCCCCTTTAGCCTGCCAACTCTGTAACCTGGCTTCCCAATTGGCTTTACTCCGATCTGCATTCTTTACATTGCCTTCTTTGGGTTTTGGGCTTTGTTTGTTTTGTTTTGTTTTGTCTTGTCTTTGCGATCTTTGTTGGACTCTCTCCAGAATGAGAATGTAAGCCCTCTCTTTTTGAAGCCCACCAAGTTCTCTGCTTATCATTGTGCCAAGGAGCCCTCGGAGTGCCCTGGGCTACACACTGAACTGCCAGTCATAAGGTCAGCACTCCAAACCCATCAGCCACCCCATAAGAGGAAGATGGCACCATCTGTGCCCGGAAAGACGGAGTGCTCAGAAGCCCAAAGGGGCAGTGTGCTCAGTCCTCCAGGGAGGGTAACTATGAACCGGCTGAGTGGTGTTATTGTGGTAGCACCAGCACCCAAAGGCCTAGTGGATGGAGACACAGAAACCTCACTGCCATTAAGTCAATGCTGACTCCTAGCACCCCATGTCCAGTCTTTCTCCTGCAGAGCTGCTGGTGCTTTTGAACTGATGACCACGAGGATCACAGCCCAGCACAGCACCACAATGCCACGAGGGCAGGCACTCAGTAAATATGGGTCCCCTGGATGAACAAACTACATTTTTTATCAGTCTGCCCACCAAAATCTAGAAGTCCGTCTACCAGTGTTCATCACAGGACTTTTCACAATGACCAAAACGAGTCCATCTCTAGATCAACAAATGAATGCAATTCACACATACGGTACAAGAAATGAAGGCCTGGAACAGGCCCTGGCGTGGGGAGCCCTGAAAATGCCACGCTGAGTGAAATGAGCCAGACTCCAAAGCATAACCACTGGGTGGTCTCATTTACATACAATAAGTACACACCTAGAGTCCGAAGCTTGTTAGGGGCTACCAAACATGGGAGGGGGTTTCTGTACATGCAACTGCACACTAGGTCAGGTATGCTGAGTGGCACTGACTCATTCTCATTCATTAACGCTTTTCTGTTTGTCTATGTCTGTGTGCATCTATGTGGTGTGTGTATGTGTGTGTGTGTGTGTGTGTGTTTGTGTGTAAGAGAGAGAGTATTTGGTCTGTGTTAATTTTCCCTACTCAGAAGATAAAAGAGGGCTTCCAAAATTCATGGGAAAGTTCTATTATCTGTTCATTCCATCAGCCCATGAAGTTTTCGACGCCCTACTATGTCTTTGCCTGACCCCTGTCCCAGCCTCTAGCAGAGCTGATGCCACAGAAAGTGCTCAATGGACAGTCACAGCTAACATGAGGGCATGACTCTGCCAGGGCTTGAAACTGGGGTCTGAACATTCAGGGCGCTTCTTCTGTAGTAACCCTTCAGCTGATACCAGAGGACTTCCAGAAGTTGGTGGGAAACATCCATGATCTTTTCATCCTGATTGTCCAAGAGTCCTGGAACACCCTGCCTCCGCCCCCCTCATATTGAGTGACCCCTGAACCACCAGACCGACACTGGCCATTCCTTCTCCATTCACTCAGTAGCAACAGTTTCCATTTTCATCCGAAGATTGAGGAAACAGAAACTTAGGTGGCTCACGTGACTAGCTTAACGTGACAAGAGTGCGAAGTGGCCGGGCCTGGGCCCACAGTGAGCAGCAGGTAGCCACAGCCCCACCGGCCACTGGCCGGTGCAGCTACACGCTGCGTGGGCTTAATTCTGAGCCCCAGCTCGGCCCTCTGCTCGTGACTTCACGGTACCGAGCCTCTGCTTCTTCCTTTGTAAGGCGGGGACCATGACGTCTGGCGGGGCTGTCTCAAGAGTGAAGGTGTGCGGACTCCCTGCTGCTGCTGACTCAGTTCTCTGCTCAGAGTGGCTCCACGTGACAGAGTTGAACTGACCCTTAGGCTTAGTTCCGCTGTAAGCATGTAATCATTCTGGAGACAACTGGCCAGGTCTTTTCTTCTGGACTGGAGCTCTGGTGGCACAGTGGGTACACGTGGAGTTCCTCACTGTAAAATGAGCAGTTCGAGACCACCAGCCGCTCTGAGGGAGAAAGATACAGCTTTCTACTCCCGCAAAGAGTGGCAGCCTCGGAAACCCACGGGGACAGTTCTACTCACACTACTGTGAGGGAATCCACTCAGTGGCAGGCCGTTGGAGTGACTGGCTTTCGCTGTGACACCAATGGCAGGTTTGAACCACCGGCCTTTCTGGTAGCAGCCCAGGGCTTAGCCGCTGGCTGCGCCCCTAGCGCTGTTCCTGAAGACGGGAACAGTGTCTCATGTAGTCCCCAGACATGTGGTCACTCCCTCAATAGCAGCTGCTGTTATTCACGAGAAAGGAAGGCCCTCCGTAGGACGGGCTGACAGGCACAGGGGCTGCACCCAGGCTCAAACACTGCAGCCATTGAGAGGCTGGCCCAGGCCCGGGCAGTGTTTTGTCCATTGCATCATTATGGGTCAGAGAGAACTCCGTGGCGCCTAACCACAACCGCATTCGTAGAGATCCATCTGCTTAATAACGTAGGAGCATTTGATGCAGTGACGAAAGCCCTCGGCTGTCTACTCCAATGCCGGGGCTTCCAAAAAGACCAGTGGGAGAAAGACGTGAGGATGACAGCCTTGGGAGCCCACTCTGTCTTAGAGGGTCACTGAGTCAGACCGGACTCAGAGGAGCGGGCAGTAGCTTCTGGATAGCTCCTCCTCTCACCATGGCCCCCTCATGTCCTCTTGCACCTGCACCTTCTGTGTCCTGAGCCAGCCCTGTTGCTCCAGGTCTGGGCATCAGCGGGGTGCAGGGGATGTGAAGCAAACAACCTGGCAGCCATGGCCCGTTCTCCCAGCTTGGGGTCTCCTTGGCCGAGCCCAGGACAGGAAGGGGGTTCTCTGCTCTTGTTTGTCACCCAGCTGAGCTCATCCAAACACTTCTCTCCCCCAGGCATTATTCTCGGACCAGGAAGCAGCACGCTGTTTATTGAAAGAGTCACTGAGAAGGATGAAGGCATCTACTACTGCAAAGCCACCAACCAGAAGGGCTCCGTGGGGAGCTCGGCGTACCTCACAGTGCAAGGTAAACAGCTGCCTTGGGAGGGCAACCAGAAGCGGTGCAGACACCCATTTCCCTGTTTGTTTAACTTCCCACCTCCCAGGCAGCCCAGGCTCTCCAGCCTGGGGGCCTTGCCCTGAGCAACAGGCCCTTGGGGGAGGGGATGGCCTGTCTGGTTCTGTCTGCGCAGTCTCTGTTGGGGAAGCCGTCTCCCCAGAGAGACAAAGGCCAGCTGCTGGCACTCCAAGAGAATGGCTGGGGAGGGCCACACCTGTGGGAACCAGGCTGAAAGAGGAGAGAGGAGTTGGGTGCAGGTGAGGGCAGCGGTGGGGGCCCCCACATACACTCTCCACCCCCTTTCCTCTTCCGGTTCCCACCAGCTGGGCAAATGCTGCTCATCCCAGGGTTTCCTACGCTGGTTTGAGCACATAGTTAAAGTCCTACCAACCGAGGAGCAACACATCATTACCAGGCCGTCTTCAAGGAAACATTCCCTGCGCTTCTACATGTCTGGGTCCTACTCGCTTGGTAAAACACAGGGGTGAGGCCTACCCTGACCCTGGCCTACCATGTGGTTTCCATCTAGAAACAGCCCAGACCTCAGTTTCCATTCTCCGGTGCCCAGGTACACCACCCCCCCACCCCCCCACAGAAGGCGCGTGTTGCTGTTAGGTGCCAGTGAATAGGTCCTGGCTCACGGCGGCCCTGGGCCCACCAGAAGGAAACACTGTCTGGTCCTGCACCGTCCTCATAACTGGACCTATGCTTGAACCCATTGTTGTAGCCACCTGTCGATCCATCTCCTTGAGGGCCCTCCTATTTTTTGCTGCCCCGCTGCTTTACCAAGTATGATGTCCTTCTCCAGGGACAGGTCTCTCCTGACTCCCAAAGTACGGGAGACAAAGTCTCGCCATCCTTGCCTCTAAGGAGCATTCTGGGAAGTGCTTCTTCCCAGATAGTTTTGTTTGTTCTTTTGACAGTTTGTGGTACTTTCAATATTCTGCATCAGCGCCACAACTCAAACACGTTGACTCTTCTTCTGTCTTCCTTCTTCCACGTCTAACTTTCACCCACACAGGAGGCACCTGAAATACCATGGCTTGGGGCAGCCGCACCTTAGTTGTGAAAGCAACCTCCCTGTTTTTCAACACTCTAAAGAGGCTGAGCTCTGGACTGCTGCGGCTGGGAGCACTGAAACCTTAAGCTTTGTAAAATACCACACGGGCGCCTCTCAGATGGAAACCCCGAAGGCACTTTGGGGTTTTCTGTGAAGGGATGGGACCTCTTGGGTAGCCTGTTTCCAGCTGCTCACAAGTCAACAGCATGCGTGAATGTTTGAACATGCATATGTTTGGTGAGCAAAGAGCTAGGGGAAGGGCAATTTCCTTCTGCCCTGGAAATCTATGCGGCTTTAAAAGATTCCAACTCTAGGAAAATAGTCACGGCCTCCAAGAGAGAGTACCCTTCCCGTGCAAGGAGATGGCGACCTGAGTGAGACTCCCTGGCCACCACCTTGGACTTTCAGAGACAGAGGGAGGGAGCGAGCCCCCACTGTGGAGCCGGTTCCGGCTCAGAGGCCCTCCAGGACAGAGTGGAAGCACAGGGCCTCCAAGGCCACAATCTTTAAAGCCATGGTGGCCCCATCTTTCTCCTGTGGAGTAGCTGGTAGGTTGGATCTTTTGGTTGGCAGGATCCTTGGAGGGAGAAGAAGGTAGCATTCCCAGAATGCTTTCAGTAATGGACAGTCAACTTAGCCACGTTTTAAACTCTCTCTGGCATGTGTGCTCCTGCATGGAACAACTCGGCTTCTAAAGGGTGCATTGTTCCTTAGCATGTTTGCTTCAGAAGGTTGGGGGCTGTCTTTTACCCAGGACCCCAGATGTGACACAGAGCTTGGTGGAACGGTGGGTTAGGGTTGGAGCTACTGCCCTCGGGATGAAACGGTTAGCTTCCATAAGGATTACACCCGGAAACCCTAGGAGGTCATTCTCCCCTGTCCTAGAGGATTGCTAGGAGTCAGATTCAACTAGCGGGCAGTTGGGAGTGGGGTGGGGTTTACAACCAGGGCATTGCAGACCTGAGGTCAAAGCTGGACTCATGAGCACTGCCCTCCACCTCCTTCGAACAGCAGCCTTCTCTGACCACTTTCTGTGCCTATTCTTCACTAAGGGGGAAGATGCATCAGCAGCAGCCAGGGGCCCTGAGGACTTAGGAGCATCCCTTGTATGTGAGGACGTGCTTACACCCTTCATAGACCCAGACAAGTTAATATGTTGCCGAGTTAACAACCATTTAAATGTGGCTCTCTCTCTTGCCCTAGAGAGCCTATCCCTGTCTTTCTTTCTTCTGGCACGAAGGGGTGGGTTTTTGAAGTGGAGAAAGCTGGTAGATGTGTACCATGTGCTCTAGGACAGGAAAGGGAGTCATCAGGACTGATCAGAATCGCACCATGGGTACCTCCTGCACACTATAAGGGTGCAGAGGAAGCGCTGGTGATGTGATGGGGGGCCAGGTACTGAGAAGACTACACAAGAGACAAGAGGAGTGGTGGGTTTCCGAGGATGTGAGGGATGCAAAGGGGACATATGGGGGGAGGCAGAGTGGTTAGGAGCACAGAGCTTTCAGGACACACACACACACACACACACACAAAGTTCATCATAGCCATAGTGCTGGGACCCTTGAAGGAAGGAAGGAGACCGAGGTTGGAGAAGGAGCCAGAAGCCTGGGGCACCCAAATGAGAATAATAGGCAATCGGGAGCCACTGAAGGATTTTAAACAGGATCTAACTTGTGCTTGACTGTTAACCACAAGGTTAGTGGTTTGAGTCCACCCAGCAGCAAGCCCAGGAGATCTGCTTCCATCCAGAGAATAGCCTAGGAAACCCTACGGGCGGTTCTGTTCTGCCCCGTGGGAGCGAGGTAAGTCAGAATCAGTTCTCAGTAATGAAGGAGACGGGGTTATACACCATGCTCCTTCGCTGTGGTGAGCTTGGTGAACCTAGCTGGAAGATTAAGGTGCACAAAATACAATTAGGGTCAGTTCAACACACACTTTACACGTCTCTCAAAAAGTAGAAACACTGGTTTATGTCAAAGGGCCACCATGCAAAGGGCAGGTCTTGTAGGTGTTGGATTGACCAGTGGAGGGCCAAGAAGGGAGAGGACGGTGAGTGACACTGAACCGTTGACAGTGACACCCCCTTGGCAGCTGTTGTTGTTAGGTGCTATCGAGTCAGACATGTGCACGACAGAACGAAACACTGCCCGGCCCTGTGCCATCCTCATCACTGTTCCGATGCTTAAGCCTTTGACCGCAGCCCCTGTGTCCATCCATATCGCTGAGAGTCTTCCTCTTTCCCCGTCCCTCCACTTTACCAAACATGATGTCTTTCTCCAGGGACTGGTCTCTCTGGACAATATGTCCAAAGTGCGGAAGACAAAGTCTTGCCATCCTTGCCTCTAAATTGGTCCAGCTGGGGAGTTGAGTAGCACTGATTCTTCTGATGGGTTGGTGCTTCTGACCCATAGCCTCATGTCCCTTGGGTGGCTTTGGCCCTTGATGTTCTAGTAGACACTTCCCATCTCGTGTGCCTCTTTCTTTTTACCCAGCGTGGCCTCCAAGTGCCATGCCATGGAGTTCTTGTGCCCTGCTTCTTGAAGTTTTTCTGTCTTCTCCCTTGCTCTCTTTCATCATTTTATTTTGTATATTTTCAGAGTGACAGCTGGATCCAACCTCTCTGCATAAAAGTTGTGGCTAGCTGAAAAACAATCTCATCTACTATAGTCCAACCACATCTGAAAGACTGTGGTCACTGATAAGAGTCCATACATGGAACCAAAGACAGAATGCAGCAGGGAGAGACTAAACAGAAACCCCAAATCCCACGGCCGTCGAGTTGATTCTGACTCATAACGTAGTAACCCTGCATAAGGTTCTGAGACTGGACATCATTATGGAGGCTGACAGCCTCCTGTTTTGCCTCCACAGAGCACTTGCTGGGGAGGACTCAAGGGGGTTGTTTCAAGGAACTGTGTCACATTTTAACTGAAGAACCTATCGGAAGCTATATTATATTAGCATCGTGAGTATTAAACTGCTAACTCCAAGGCTGACTGTTCAAACCCCAGCCACTCCAAAGTGGAAAAGATGAGGCTGTCTGCTCCCGTAAAGATTTGCAGCTTTGACAAGGGGCGTTTATAGAGGACTAAATACAGGCATGTACATATGTAAATATATTTATATATAAGAATAGATCTATGTACATATATTTATAGGTTTAGTATTATGGTAGCAGACAGACATTGGGCTTCCACTCAAGTACTCCCTCAATGCAAGAACACTTTGTTCTAATAACCTGGCATTCCGTGATGCTCACCTTTCCAGCTGAAGACAAAATGGGTGTATAAGCAAATGTGGTGAAGAAAGCTGATAGTGCCCTGCTACCAAAAGATATAGCATCTGGGGTCTGAAAGGCTTAAGATAAACAAGTGGCCATCGAGCCAAGAAGCAACAAAGCCCAACTTTAAGAAGCACACCAGCCTGTGTGATCCTGAGCTATTTATGGGATCAGGTATCAGGCATCAAAGACCCAGAACAAAAAAATCATATCATTGTAAATGGAGGGGGAGTATGGAGTCGAGACCCAAAGCCCATCTGTAGACAACTGGACATCCCCTTACAGAAGGGTCACAAGGAAGAGACGAGCCAGTCAGGGTGCAGTATAGCACCATTGAAACATAGAACTTTCCTCTAGTTCGTTAATGCTTCCTCCCCTAACTACCATGACCCCAATTTTACCTTACAAATCGGGCTAGACCAAAGCATGTACACTGGTTCAGATAAGAGCTGGAAACACTGGGAATCCAGGACCTATAAGCCCCTCAGGGCCAATATTGACAGTAGCGATACTAGGAGGGTAAGGGAAAGTTGGGGCGAGAAAGGAGAAACTGTTCACAATGATCTATATAGAACCCCCTCCCAGGAAGTCAGACAACAGAAAAGTGGGTGAAGGGAGACATCA